TCAGGTGAATACCTAACAGGAGGCAGTGAGGCTACAGCAGGAGAGCTATCAAATGACGATGAATCAGGAAGCCCAAGATTGAGCCCTCCTGCAAGAAGTAGTGGCCCAAAACCTTAGAGAACCAGGAGTGAAGAAGTTCTGGAAACTAAATTCCCCAAGCCAAGAGACCGGGGGATGTCTAGAACTTTGTATAGATGTTACGCATGTGGAGATGGGGACACACAGCCGGGCACTGTCCCAATACTGAGGAGCCAATGCAGTACAGTTTAGGAGACTGGGTATACTCATACTCCCTGATGCACCTTGTGTGTGGGTCACACTAATCCCATATTAATATAACAGACCAGTGAGATTAATTGGGGGAGAAACCACAGCACTGATATAATTCAGATAGTGTTATCATGCTCATCTCAGGGAAGCTGGCGATGCATAGTCAGTTGCTCCAAGTGAAATGTACAGAGGTAACGTGTTCATAGGGCAGTTTGTTAATACCCCATTTTCCCAATAATGATTGAAATCCAAGGGAACACTACTGGAGAAATGGTGGGTATAATCCCTCAATTTCCATACCTGATGCTCATAGGAAGGTACTTCCCAGCAAGGGAACTGGAAAAGAGTGAGACCTCTGAGTCAGTGAAGTGTCCACTGTATACTGTCTCCCAATTTTTTCCCAAATATCCCCAGATTTGTTTCTCAATCCCAGGAGGTCTTGAAAGACAAAAAGGGAAACCAGAGCAGGTAATGCCTTGGGAATCCAAATTCTGACCCAAAACCAGAAGGTTGATCTCGTGGGTAGAGACTTGGGCAGCAAGGAAGGAGGCTGTCCCAGAAGGGGGAGGCACCAACGTATATTTGTCATCCTGGACTATGCAACCCCATATCCAGAAACCATTTCTCCGCAGAACATGGCCTCTAAAATAATAGCCAAAGCACTCCTGGAGATCTTTACCAGGGTAGGACTGCTGAAGGAGATGCTGATGGACCAAGGAACTCTGTTCATACCAAAATTAATGAAGGACCTCTGTGCCCTTCTCCCTGAGGACCTCAATCTATCATCCCCAAATACATAGTCTGGTTGAAAGGGCTACACGGTGCCAAATTTTGAAAAAAGTGCTCTTTTGACACATCCCTTCTTCCTCGTAAAACAAGGTTTACGGGGATGGTGAAAGAGCACATCTAGACATAGCCAAAGTGTTGTGGAGAGTCTAGGAGGAAAAAATGCAACCAGGTACCAGGAGGAAGGACCTGTGGTTAGGAAGGTGCTGAGGAAGGCAGTGTTAAAGTGAGCCAGGGATTCTTAGCTATCATATAGCTGATACCAGAGATATCACAGACAGCTGCTATCACAGGGTCGCTGGGATGGAACCTGGAGTAGAGGGCAGCCCCAGGTTCCCTCCCCCAACTTCCCATTTTTGCATGGGAAAAAGACTGGCTTTGGTACAGGGGTTTGCCCTGTACCACTTGGAAGGGCCACAGAGACTACGATGTTTGGTTTCTCCTCTTTTCTCCATGTTGACCAACAATGAGAGTAGGTCAACAAACACCAGGCTGATGTCTAAAATGAGAGCTGAAAGTGCAGTACCCACCAAGGTTGAAGAGGAACTTTGTCACACTGCCATCCCCCAAAGTTGCTCAGTGCCCCACCAGAGCACGTACCCCTCTAGTATGGGGAACACATGAAAGACATGTGGGAGCATGACAAGTGGTTTGAATCTTTAGATGTGTCCTAAGACCCCAGAGCTAGAAATAGTGACTAGAAAGTGCCCAGATACAGCTGTCGTAGCAGCCAGCAGTTGGGCTCACTTACAACAGACTAGTGACCATACAGAGTAATAATGGGCAAATCTGTAATAATCCATAGAACATATATGTTGAACCACTTTAATCCAGCACACTCTGGTCCAGTAGTATCCATGGCCTGGCATTATAGTTAGCTGGATGTCCATTTACCATGAGTATGGCCAAATTTCCCGTGGCCCCATAAAGTTTCTTTACAGCCATGAGTCCTGGCTTTCAGTGTTTTATGCTGTTATTTAGCTCTAATTTACCCCTAAATGTCTTGTAAGATCCCAGTAAGCAGTGGAAGTGTTGGTAATGCTGCTAGACAATATTGGCCTCTTATAGCCTGGCAAATTCTCTGGTTCAGCATCAGTCAGGCCCCAAGGGTGCTGGAGAAGAGAGGTTCAATATGTATTTTTTTTAAAGATTACTGAAATGTACTTTCAGCCTTCTAATACCATTCTAACTTAATTTTTAGCATGGCATTACATTATTATAATTACTAAATTAATTAGTGCAGAAGACAGCAACTTTTATTTTGTATGCACAGTCTCGATAGTTTGCTTCCCTCTTCCCTGTCTTGAACTTCATGTAGCAAGAAAAGAGACTTTCTTTTGTGTGTTTGGCTTATGTTTGACAGAATGAGCTGATGAAAAGAAAAGTTGTACAGATAGCAATAAATGGTCTCTTTCTAGAGTTTAACAACTCTGTGCAGAGCTATAGTATGTATGTACATCACAGATTTTAAAAGACCCTCCTAAAATTCAGGAAGTGGCTCTCTGAGAATTTGCAAACTGTGACTTTGTAATGACGATAATGCAGGAGGAGAAATTCAGATACTGACAAATAATTTTCCACTTTTCACATTTTGTGGGTTTTAGGCTTCTCGCTTCAAGGAAATGGTTGGAAAGATACAACATACTGCTGAGGAAGGAATCGAAAGCTGTTCGGACACATCAGGTTTGGAGAACATTAGTATTTCTTATTTTAAAAAATGGCATGTGGTAAGGACTGTACCAAAATATACGTTTTTTGAGCTTCTTTGCAAGTGCAAAATATATAATTATTTCTGCTCAGAATTTTAAGTATTGTTGGTTTATATATAAATGAATATGAATAAAATAAGGAAAGTGGCAGTATTAGAGAAAGGAGATTGTCCTAGTCAGAGTGAGAATATGTGCTCCAGATTTTGGTCTTAGTTCAATGTGGTTTAAAAGATACTGTCATGCAAACCTCTGAGGTGAATTTTAAGGTTTGTGACAGGCTGTTTGTTATGGTCATGATTAGGCAATGGATGACTGGCTAGAACTTGTGCAAATATTGGGAGATTAGGCATGAGTGAGTAAGCAGGTCTTGTGGATGACCTGTTGTGAGCTACTACATTCAGTTTTATTAAATGTGTTATATATGTGATGGCATTGTAGTATTGGATATTGTAGTATTGGATATGAGATTTGACCAAAGCAAAAATCTATTATGGTCTGTGTTTTCAGTTGCTTATACAGTAGTACACAATCAAATTACATATGGAGACGGGGCTATACTTACAAAACCTAAACATTCCTTCTTTGAGTGCTTGCTCATGTCCATTCAACATAGATGTGTGTGCCTGCAACATGCACCAGCGTTGGAAGTTTATCCCTAAGTAGTACCCATAGAGGCCGGGGTCCCCAGCGCCAGTTGGAGTGCTGCACACATGCTGCACTATATAGAATGCTCCCGAGACCTCCCTCCTCGGTTCCTTCTTACTGACAGTGACAGTGCTTGGAATAGCATGCTCCAGCCTTAGCTGTAGTAAGCATTCCCTTTCTATTCAAAAAGTTTGACGGGTAGCCAAGTTAGTGTGTAACAGGAAAAACTTAAAAAACAACAAAAAGTCTAGTAGCAACTTTTTAAAGACTAACAAAACATGTAGATAGTATCGTGAGCTTTTGTGGGCACAACCCAGTTCTTCAGATGACTGGAGTATTAGAAGTCCAGATCCAAGAATAAATAAGGGAAAGGGGGGAAGGGGGAGAGGGAAAAAAAAGACAGATTGTTCAAGTAGCTACAAGGGGCTGATAAGCTAGGTAAATACAACTTAGATGGGGCTACTATAAGGTGGGTGCATAACTGGCTGAATAACCATACTCAGAGAGTAGTTATTAATGGTTCACAATCCTGCTGGAAAGGCATAACAAGTGGGGTTCCGCAGGGGTCTGTTTTGTGACCGGCTCTGTTCAATATCTTCATCAACGATTTAGATATTGGTATAGAAAGTACACTTATTAAGTTTGCAGATGATACCAAGCTGGGAGGGGTTGCGACTAACTTGGAGGATAGGGTCATAATTCAAAATGACCTGGACAAATTGGAGAAATGGTCTGAGATAAATAGGATGAAGTTTAATAAAGACAAATGCAAAGTGCTCCACGTAGGAAGGAACAATCAGTTTCACACATACAGAATGGGAAATGACTGTCTGGGAAGGGGTATGGCAGAAAGGGATCTAGGGGTTATAGTGGACCACAAGTTAAATATGAGTCAGCAGTGTGATGCTGTTGCAAAGAAAGCAAACATGATTCTGGGATGTATTAACAGGTGTGTTGTGAGCAAGACACGAGAAGTCATTCTGCTGCTCTACTCTGCGCTGGTTAGGCCTCAATTGGAGTATTGTGTCCAGTTCTGGGCACCGCATTTCAAGAAAGATGTGGAAAAATTAGAGAGGGTCCGGAGAAGAGCAATGAGAATGATTAAAGGTCTAGAGAACATGACGTGTGAGGGAAGGCTGAAGGAATTGGGTTTGTTTAGTTTAGAAAAAAGAAGATTGAGGGGGGACATGATAGCAATTTTCAGATATCTAAAAGGGTGTCATAAGGAGGAGGGAAAAAACTTGTTCATCTTGGCCTCTGTGCATAGAACAAGAAGTAATGGGCTTAAACTGCAGCAAGGGAGGTTTAGGTGGGACATTAGGAAAAAGCCCCGATCGCCATTTTCGCGCTGGATGGCCTGGGGAAGGGATGTAGGTGGGGAGTGTAGGGTCTGGGAGGGAGTTGTGATCTGGGACAAAAGGGATACAGAGGGTTTTGGGGGTGGCCTGGGGCAGTTGGGAAAAGGGGTGGATGCCAGAGGCAGGCTTATGCTGGGAGTCGCTTACTTAAGCGGCTCCCAGCCAGCAGCCCTGCAGGAACCTGAAGGCTGCAGTCTCAAGCTGCACCCCGTGGCTCTGCTCAGGGCAGTGTGGGAGGGGAGAGGCTTCATTGACTGCCCCTGCTGTCAGGAACATTTATCAGCTGCTATTGGTTAGAAACCGGCCAAAAATACCTGCGAGATTTTGCTGGAGGGTGAGTCACAAAGCCTCCCTCTTCACTCCCAGCATAAAGCAACCACATTTAAAGCAGCTGTAGCTGTGCTGTGTTTAAGCATCCCAGTGAGGCAGCCACAGGCTGGATCTGGTGGCTTGGTGGGCTGGATCCAGCCTGATAGCTTTCTCTTGCCCACCCCTGGACAAGAGGGTATTGAGGAGAGAGGAGCTAGGGAACGTCCTATATAGTGTGGCTTGTGTGCACCACTCCAGAGGGCACTGGGTGTCCTGGCCCTTATGGGTACTGCTTAGGGAAAAACTTCTGGCACCAGTGCATGTGGCAGGCACACACATCTATATTTAATGGATATGTGCAACACATCTTGAAGAACACCAGTTACAAAACAGGTATCTGTCTTAGCTGTATAAAGTTCTCATGTTGGCAAATATTGATTATTTTCAACATAAAGAAGTGAATCAAGAGATTGGACTATAATTGAGCCTTTTGTGAACAAGAATGTTGGTTTGTCAGTTGTTATAATAAAAGCTTTAGAATACAATGTTTAAAAGCTAGAAATGAAAAATTAAAGAGCATATTGTTAGGTATCTCACCAGTTATATGAAATTGCATAAAGTAAATTGTCATGCTGGTGATCTAGCTAGGTTAGGAGCTGAAATTAATAAATCAATTTTTACCTGCTGTGTGTAACTTGGCTGTGTACTTTTAACTTATTAAAAAATAAAATAGAATTTAAACATTTTTCTGTGATGTACTTCATATCTTGTTAGTAAGATTAAGATGGTAAGTAGTTTCTAATAATTCTTTTCTCACTTGAAGCTGATTCAGAGTTACAGGAAGAACAGCTGTTTGGAATTAAGGTAAAGATGTTTATTCCTTAAAAATTCATTGTATTTTCATAGAATCAATTGTTAAAGTTTATACTTAGGGGTTAAAATATCATACTGCCCTGAAACCATTAGTTCAAATCCCAGCAGGTTTCAGCTCAGCTCTTTGCATTTCTGAGGTAAGTGTATACTCAATGGATGAAAAGTTGGTCTATTGAAGTCCATGGCAAAACTTCTCTTGGCTACCAGGTGGTCAGGGTTTCACTTTATCTTCAAATGGTGATTCTGGTGGGGGTCACTGGAAAGATATGCTATTGATGAAGGATCTGTTTGTCCTCAGTAGACATTAAAGATCCCATATCATATTTTGTCCAAGTAGCTATCATTGGCCAACTTTTTTCCTGCCCATTCCAATTAATATTTTGACTGCCACTCTTCAGTGCAACTGTAGCTAGAATTCACTTTTTGTATATATTGTGGACAAGGCTTGGAACACTTGCCTACTATTTATGATGGGTAAACACCCTTTGCCCCATCACTACAAGCACACACTCTCGTTGCACCCTGCAGCTGCAATGAATAAGACACTTGGCAATATGTTAGAATAAATTATGTGCAATACAGTTTTTAAAAAGTAACTTGAGTGTCTCTGATTTGTTGCTTTCTTTCATTTTCTCTGTCATTGTTTTTTCATGCTGGATTGTGTTCATCTTTGTGTACATTGTTTCCAGTGTCTATTTTCTTTGATTCCTCTCTCTCATTTGCAGCAGCTTCCATCTGCTTTATGGTGTTGAGATAGACTGGTCTGCCCCTCCCTGCTAAAGGCTCTTCTTCAGGTTTATCTTGAGTATCCTTATTTCTTGACACCGGTTGGTTTCCATTTGACAGCTTCATGTGGGATTCTGTCTGTTAGCATGCAGAACGGATGCCCCAGATATATTCAGCGTTTTCTTGTAGTGGAGATGAGAAGCTGATTGGTGATTTCTCAGATCTCTTAGCTGGTGATAAAGTCTGTCCGTCCATTGCCCAGAATTTTTAATAGGCATTTATTTTGGATGACATTAATTTTCTGTCTAAGATTTGTATAGCTTTCTGGTTCTGACAGTTACACACTACCATTGAGATGACATCTGAATTGAAAACTCTTGAGTTTTTTGGAAGTATATATTTTTTATATCTTACTTTGTTGAGTTTAGTGAATACTGTGGACATCTCTCCTATTTTTTGATATCTCACTTGCTGCATTTTAGTGATAGAAATGTAGCCGTGTTAGTCTGGGGTAGCTGAAGCAAATTGTTGTGACTACTTTCTTCCACTATTTGATCTGAGGAAGTGGGTCTGGCCCACAAAAGCTCATCATCTAATAAACCATCTTGTTAGTCTTTAAAGTGCTACATTGTTGCTGCATTTTGACATTGATACTGCTGGTTCCAAGCTCAGATAAAATAGCATTATTTAAAACAAACAAACAAACCACACACTTCACTGGATATAGAAAAGATTGCTTAATAAAAAAAAAACCTTTTTGACCCCTCATATTTCATGAAATCTCCTGGTGAAAGCCTGTCCCCTGAAGATAGAATACTCAGCAATTTGAGGCTGATACCAAGAAAACATTTCAGAGTCAAAAGACAGGACTACGTAGCACTTTAAAGACTAACAAGATGGTTTATTAGGTGATGAGCTTTCGTGGGCCAGATGCACTTCCTCAGATCAAATTGTGGAAGAAAATTGGCATGACCATATATACCAAAGGGATACAAACAAAAAAAAGTGAACACATAAAATAGACAAATCAGATTTTAGAAGAGAGGGGAAATGGGGGGGAGAGAGGTTAATGTCTATGAGGTAATGATATTAGAGGTGATAATTGGGGAAGATATCTTTGTAATGGGTGAGATAATTAGCATCTTTGTTAAGCCTCAATTGATAGCTTCCCCAATATGGTCATGCCAATTTTCTTCCACAGTGGGTCTGGCCCACGAAAGCTCATCACGTAATAAACCATCTTGTTAGTCTTTAAAGTGCTACCTAGTTCTGTCTTTTGTTTCAGCTAGACCAGACTAACACGGCTACATCTCTATTACTTCAGAGTCAGTTAGTGGAACATGAGAATAATGTCTCAGATATCAAAGATCTTTCTAATCACGAGGGAGGTAGATAACTATGGACTTGAAATGCTAGGCAGCTGTGAGAGCAGACTGACAGATTTGATTAGGAAGCACTTCCAGCAGGAGAAAAAACATATAATCTACTCAGGTAGTCAAAACAATGTATACTCAGGCCACATCTTCAATCTGTGGAAGATCTCCTCTCCTGCGATCAATCTTCTAGAATTCATTTAGCGAGTCTAGTTAAGACTTGCTAAACCAAACTCAGAGTGCGTCCCTGATGGTGTCCTGTACTCCTGCTCTTGCCAGGAGTAAAGGAAGCTGATGGGAGTGTTTGCTCCCATTGGCCTCCTATGGGGGACACACCAAGCTCAGCTTTAGGTAAGCTGACTCCAGCTACATATGCTGCATAGCTAGAGTTCCATACCTTAAGCTGAGCTGCTAGTGTAGACCTGGCCTCTGAGACAGTAGCACTGGACAAATTTTGTAGGAAAAGCCCTTACCTGGGAACCTATCAGCAAGTAATGCCTGTAATATGTAGGGATTAAAAAAAAATGCTAACTTTGATCATGATGTTTACCTTTGCTAGGGGCCTGATTTTGGTGGGAGCAGGCTGAAGTCCTTAATAGAAGTACTGTAATGCTGATGCAAAATGCAGGACAATGTAGCACTTTAAAGACTAACAAGATGGTTTATTAGATGATGAGCTTGGAAGTGGGTCTGGCCCATGAAAGCTCATCATCTAATAAACCATCTTGTTAGTCTTTAAAGTGCTACATTGTCCTGCATTTTGCTTCAGCTACCCCAGACTAACACGGCTACATCTCTACCACTATTCTGTAATGCTGATGAATTTTATTAATGTAACATTTCTCATTTCATATACTTACATCATCCTTTTTTGTAACTTCTGTTTTATTGATTGGCATAGTGTTGGACATTTAATAGCTAATGACATAAATTATTGTTAAAGGGAGTTTCTTATCTTTATTTTCAAATGTTTATAATACAAAACTATATTATATAAGCTAAAAATCTAGACTCTAGGCCAAATTAACCAATTACATGAATAGTGGTGCTAATTGATTATAAAACAGATGTGAGAGGTAAAGTACAGCACTCAATGGTACAGAATATGTAATTTGTAACGGTGTAGTATTCTTTGGGTAGTAGTTCAGTCCTAATCTGAGTGACTGCAGCTCTTTTTAAAATCAGTGGGAATTATATACCTGCTTCTGTTGGGACTGAATTTAGCATGTGGTATTGGGAACATAATGGGCTTAAGATAAAGTAGGAGAGCTTATTTACGTTCCACCCTTTTGTTAGCTTTCCCATCCAGTGACCAAGTTTTGTTCTGCTACACTGTTTGTAAATTAATGGAAGTTAATGTATAAAGTGTGATTGTTTTGCAAACTGCTGAATGCCAAATTAGAGGAATTTAACTAATTTCCCATTTACAGTGTATCAGCTTAAATCCAATGGTTAAGTTTAGCTCATTGATGAAATTAACACAGACTTCTAAGAGATATATTTATTTATTCTAGGCTGTGCTTTGGGCTCTGACCATTAAAAGACATTAGTAATTATTAGAGAAAGTTTTATTTTATTTTTCTTTCATTACAGACTGAACTCAGAGAAGATTCTGGTCTGTCCTTGAGAATTACAGAGACAGTATTGAGAAGTGTGGAAACAGATTTAAATTTTGTGCAGGAATATGAGGAATCTGAAGAAAATCTTTCTATTCCCGTGATTGCAGTGTCTGCATCTACTATTTCTCAAAAACTGTCAGCTGAGAAAGTACCTGAAAATCTTACTAGGAAATCCTCAGAAGATGAAAGCACAATTATGGACTCACAAAGTATTATTTCTATAGCTCTAGAGAGAGAAACAAAGCAGGAAAATAGTCATGCCAAAGAAGAAATAGAAGATCTGAAACCAGCAGGCATGTTGTCAAAGGGGTCTGACCTTTCAGGTTTAGAAAAGTATCCAGTAATACAAATACAGGTATCTCTGCTTGCAATATTATATAGACTGTTTCAGTACATCAGCATCAATGGTGAATTTATTTAAAGTGCTCCAAGCCTAGGTCTTGATAGTTCTCTCAAACATTACCACTTAAGTGATTATTCTCTTTAAAATTCAAATGAATTTCTGGTTATGACTGTTCTGAGATGTACATTGCGGCCCTTCATAATGACTCATCCATCCTCCTCTCCACAGAGTGTTGAGTCTGTATGTATTTGTCAAATAGTTTTTTAAAATAAATAGTTTCCATCTTCCTTTCAAAGGGAGTTACAACTTGAGGCTATGGTAGGGGCATTGTTTCTCAAGTGGTCTGAGGACCCACTCTGAGAAAACTTCCCTTACTCCTCATGGAAACAGGACTACTGGCATTGATGGGAGTCCCTCTCTCAGTTCGAATTAGCTGTCTTAACTAGACCTGCTAAATGGGACCCTGGAAGATTGATAACGGCAACTTCAATCTTCTCTGTAGTGTAAACAAACCCACAATTACTGACTTGCAAGTTGCCATTCTCTTACAACAAAACTTCAGAAACAGACTGCAAGGAGAAACTTCAGAGCTGGAATGCATAATGCAAATTTGACAACCTCAGAAGAGGTTTAAATAGAAACATGGAATGTCTTTCTTATTACAACAGGAAATTTGCCCTGCAGGTATCTTCACCTTCTCATCACTGTTAGAGGTGAGCCATATCCACTCTAATTAGTACTAATGTCACACTCCCATCTCTGCATCCTTTTCTTTTTTCTTTTCTCCTCGTCTGAAGAAGTGAGTTATGCCTGAATATATTTTTTAAAGTGCCACTGTACTCGTTGTTTTTGCCGAAACAGACTAACGCAGTGTAATGGGGTTGGCTCTCACCTCCCACAAGTGTCCCCGTTTGGCCAAGTGCAGGTTAGGGATGTACGGTGTAGTTGATTAATCGATAAGCAAAAGCACACATTATAGTGGAGCTGGGTAAAATATGGCCTGGAGACCAGATCCGGCCCGTGGGCCACCTTGCTCGGACCCTCAGGCACACAGTTGCCACAGGTTTAAAACACAGTCTGGCAGCTCTCTGCTCTGGAGGGAAGGTTTCATGTGATTTCCCATCCACACCCAATCCTCAGCTCCTATTGGCCAGAAACAACCGGCCAACAGGAATTGACCCCAACTGGAAACAACCAGCCAGTAGGAGCTGAGAGATTGGGATGGGGGCAGCACAAGCTGAGAGCCAAATGGAGAGAGCAGCCTGCAGTTCTAAGTGATCTGGAGCTGCAGCCGGCAGGGACCCCAGCCTGCCTTGGGGATGCTGCAGGGAATCTGGCTTAGGTAATCGCCTCCCAGCCACAGCCTGCCTCTGGCACCCCTGCCCCTCACACACACCAACTCTCTCCCCCAGGTCACCATCCAATTTTCTGACCCAGGTCATAACTCCCTCCTAGGCTCCAGACCACTTCCTATACCTCTTCCCCAGGCCAGCATCCTCTCCTGCACCCAAACTCCCTCTCAGACCTCACACCATCTCCTGCACCCCAATCCCTCCCCCCGCCCCTCCGGACAGGGGCTGCTGCCACCCCACACTGTTGCTTCTGTATCAGAGGCAGCAGCGTGGAGCTGGCTTTTAAACTAGCTCCCCTCATAAACCAGCTCCCACCTGGCGCCCTGCGCGCTGCTGTCTCTGATACCGAGGCAGCAGTGTGGAGTGGCATGGGGCTCCTCAGGAGTGGGGCCGGAGCGCGCTGGCTGCCGGCCACATCCCCAGGGACTATAGAATAGTTGAGTAACTGATAAGAATTCATGAGGTTAATCGATTATTCAGTTAACCAGTATTTAATATCTCTAGTGCAGGTTCCTACACAGCCTCAGTTTTAAAAGCCTGGTGGCTATTCAGCCCTCTGGCAGGGTCATACACTGTGCCATCACAAACCAGTCCCAGGGTACACCTTTAACACAGACCCATTCTGGTACCCCCTGTAGAGTGTCTCTTAATTCAATGTCATGCCCTTGGTTCTGAACAAGAGTGGTGCCTCCAGGGCTTCAACTCCTAGAGACAAGTCCTTGGCTCTTTCCTCAGGGCTTTACCTTCAAGCCCATTAATCTCTTAACAGTCTCTCCTCTGAGAGCTGTCCCAGTTCTGCCAGCCAGTCACCCATGACCTTCTCCCTTCTAGGTCTGGGCTGCAACTGAGCTACCATTAGTTCCACAGCTCCTGTTATATAGTCTCTCCTGGCCCCTGATTGTCTGGTTTCCTCCTAGCCACCTGGAGGACTTCTCTATGGCTTTAGGGCCCAGCCCCATTTTACATTGCTACCCCTTTGATATCCCATGAAGACACTCCAGTATATATTCCTTTTTTCAGGTTAGCTTATGTCACTTGGGAAAAACGATTTAAGCTAAACAAACAAAAAATCTATTTTAGCAGAATACGTGTGTTCAAACAAGCAGTTATACCTGTATGACTTTATCAGTATAAATGATAAAACTTTCCCTTGTTGTCCTATTAATAAGTAGTTACAGTGGAGAGGCATGCTGCTTTTCCGGAAGGGGAGCTGCGATATACTCTGAGCCAAATTTTCACCTACTCCTTCAGTTACAGTAATAACTAGCAGACTTACCTGTTGTTGTCCACGTCCTGAAGGGCAGGGGACTGGTGGTATGGGGGGATGCAGGAGTCAGGGCAGGCACATTGGGGATGTGGTGGGGAGTGCAGGAGGCTGGAGATGGGAGGATGCTAGAGTGAGGGTTGGAGTGTGAGGAGAGGCTTAGGGTGGGGAGGTCACAGAATCCTCCTAGCCACCTAGACCTCAGAAGGTCATCTAGTCCAGCCCCCTGCTGCTGCGCATGTGCGGGAGTTGCTTCACCCCGTTCGTATCTAGGGATCCGACGTAAGTCGGATCCACGTAAGTCGGGGACTGCCTGTACACTACAAAGCCAATTTTCCCTGCCTTTGACATGTAAATTTTCACATCAAAAGCTACAAATTAATTAGCTTCTAACCCACTTAATTAGCTTCATTAACACGGTTTTTACAATTGACAACTGCTTTTGCTGTTTTATATATCTTGGATTCTGCTATTTCCATATATCTGACGAAGTGGGTCATGAAAACTCCAATAAATCTGTTAGTCTATAAGGTGCCACAGGACTCCTCATATTTTAAAATAACTTATTTGAAATAAGTTATTTCAAAATAATTTCCTAGTGTAAACATACCCTATTGTGCCACAGGACCAAATTTTTTTTTTTAAGTTACAGACTAATTACCATTCTGAGATTTTTTATATTTGGGGGAGGGGGGGGGGGGGGGGTTATCCAGTACATTTTCCTGAAGAAATAGCACTAAACATGGTCGAGTATAGTGCTAAAGGCACAGAAAAGGGAGCCAAACAATCCAGAATTTTAATCTCAGCTCTATCACTAACTCTCTAGGTGGCTTTGGAAAATTATTTAGGCCAAATTTTTAAGTATTGGTGCACAATATCAAGGTTTTAAACAAATATGTAGACTTTTTTTTAAACTGCTCTGATTTTCACAGCGGCTTATGACCCATAGCTTCTATTGGAAGTAACAGTAGTTGCCTCTGAAGGTCTAGACTCTTTTTAAGTGAATAAGAATTTAAGTGGTCAACTTTGGGCTCTAAAGTTTGAAAATGTTAATATTAATCTGTGTTTGTTTCACTGTTAGGCATTTATTTTCATTTTACAACCTCACAGAAATGTTATTTGGATTAATACTGAAATTTCTCATTACATATTTTTTCTTGCTTATGTTTGTTTAATTAGTCTTGAATAATTGTTCTGAGGAAATTAAATAGGTATGCTGCTGTAATATAAGAAACTATGTTAATTAATCCACCCTGAAAATATTTTCTTAATCAGTTTGTGTTTTATGTTACAGTACCAGCAACCTATTCTTAGTGGAGACAAGTTTGAACCTTTTTTGAGAAATATAAGTAGAATGCAATCAAATACACAGAATGAAAAGGAAGATGATCAAGAAGTCCCTATTTTCACTCTTCTGGAAAGCAAATTTTCATGTGTAGAGATTAAAGAAGACCAAGATCCACCTTTCAAGGCATCTTCAGCAATTGCAGAGAGTAGTTCAGATGTTAATTTAAGCAAGAATGGTCAGCACCTATCCATATTAAAACTTATAGAATCAAAGATGGAATTAGAGGAGGGTGGAATTAATGGTGAAGAAGAAGAGTCCCCAGCACTGGCTATAAGAACAGATTTGCCTGAGAAATGGCAAGAGGAGAGACTTTCAGAAACAGAAATAGTACGTCTAAACTCTTTTTTAAGTAACACTCTTGAAGACTTTCTTATAGATAGACTTATAAACATAATAATGTTAAAATCTGTTTTAAGCAAAAATCTGGAAGTGTTTATTGCAGAGAAACTTTCAGAATTAGGTATAGTCACAGAGGTAGAATTAGGAGAAGAATTCCAGAACCTACAGAGGATCACAGATGGCTCACCAGTTTTTTTAGAGAGAGATTTACTGACAAAAAGAAAAGATACCTTCAAGAAAATGCTTTCAGAAGCAGAAATAATAAATTTAAAATCTGTTTTGAGTAAAAACCTGCAAGATCGTCTGATAGAGAGATTTTCTGAAACAGGAATAATCACCAATTCAGAGTTAGGAAAGCAGCACCAGTATCTGTCATTACAGGAAAATAAAGATAGATCACCATTGGTTTTGATGACTGATTTAGCTGAGAAAATGCATGACAGTTGTGAGCAGAGGCTTTCAGAAATGGAAATAAGTCTTAAATCTGTTGTAACCCAAAATGTGCAAGATCTTCCCATAGCAAGCCCTTTAGAAACAAGGCTAACTGAAGAGAAAAAGTTACTAAAGGAACACCAGAACTTTTCTTTCTCAAGCACTGAGAAGAGACAACCAAAGTCTGATGCAGAGTTATTGAAGAAGAGGAATGATAAATCCAGGGGAAAATGTTCAGAACCTGAAATAATAATAAAATATCTAAGTCAAAACTTACAGAACAATGGCACAAAGAGACATTCACAAACAGCAATAAACACAAAGATGGAGTTAGAAAAAGAGCACCAAAACCACTCATTACCGATCACCAAAGTCAGATTGCCAATGACTATAGAGACAAACTCACCTACAATAGGACAAGATCATCACAAGCAGGGTGTTTCACAACAACAAATAAATCTAAAATCTGCTTCAGACAAAACTCTCCAAGATTCTCTTATAGAAAGACTTTTGGAAACAGAAATAATGAGTTTAAAGGATTTTTTAAACAAATGTCTCCATGATCATCTCCTAGAGAAACTCTCAGAAACAGGATTAATTATGGAAGAAGAGTTAGAGACAGTACATCAGAACTATTCCTTGATGAACATTCTGGAACGACATCCAGGGGCATTGGAGACAGAATTACATAATGTAAGTCAAGTTAATTTTGGTAAGAGTCTCACTAAACCACATATAATAAAAGGAGAACCTGTTTTAAGTGGACCTATACAGGACTTCCTTCTTGAGGTACTCTCAGAAACAGAAATAAGGAATCTAAAGTCATTTTTAAGCAAAAAGATCCAAGATCATCTTGTAGAACGACTCTCTGAAATAGGGTTGATCACAGAGGAAGAATTAAGAAAGATACACAAGGATTTGTTTGTGCTGAGAGCTAACGAAAGACTGTCAAGGGATGTGGAGTCAGATTTACACAAGGAAGAACAAAATCTAAGTCTAAAATCTGTTTTAACCAAAAACCTTAAAGATAGACTTTCAGAAACAAAACTGCTACAGTTGAAATCCCTTTTAAGCAAAATACTGAAAGAAGGTCATAGAAACAAACTTTCTGAAACAGAAATAAAAAGTCTAAAATCTATTTTAAGCAACAACATGCAAGATCTTCCTATGGAATGTATTTCAGAAACTGGGTTAATAAATGAGAGGGAATTAGAGGGAGTATGCCAGAATCTGTTTTTGCAGAATGCTAAAGGAAAACCACTGATAGTTACTGATACAGATATACTTCAGAAGGGGCAGTTTCATTCTAAGCAGAGCTCTGATAAATTCACTGTAATAAATGAAAAGCCTATTTTAAGAAAAGAAAAGTTAGAACTTCCTGTAGAGAATGTTCCAGAGCAAGTAACATGTGTGGTGCCTAATCTAATCAATGAAGCCCAAACCAACAGTGTAATACACCTACCTCAAAATAATACTTTAGAAAGAGAGAGTCAAGACCCACAAAGTTGTTTTGATAAAACAGAAGTAGCACATTCACAGACATGTTTCGACAAATCATTAAAAGCAAAGTTCCCGAATGAGAATTTGAAGGGAACACTTGAAACAACAGGGTCTCCTTCCTTAAATGCCCATGATATTGCTATCCAAACAGAACTTAAGGAATATCTCTGTAAACCAACACTATCCTTTCCTGTAAACCCTCAAACATTTATCTTTGTACATTCAGGATCTGAGGAAGAAACTAAGTCACCAGATAAGTCTCATGAGAAGTCAAAAGGGAAAAAAAAACGTGCTAAGCGTTCTAAGAAGCATGCAGCATCACGTTACCCACCACAGGGACAAGTATTAATGTGCACACAGTTTAAAAAGGAAAAACAAATTGGTTTGAATAACTGTAAGGAGATCTTAAAAGAAAAACAAAGAAAACATTCTGAACCACCATCTCCAAGATCATGTGTTTCAGGAGCCAAGAAGGATTCAAAACACTCCACACACTCAAACATTTTGAAAAAGGAAAGCCTGACACAGAAAGCTGAACAAGAAAGAGAGGATGGAAGACCAAAGAAATCACTTAACAAGTCTATTAAGATACCAACAGCCACAGTGTCTGAACTGCAGCTACAGCACTCTGCAAAAGCATTGCAAGAAAAATCATATGTGAGTAGTTTCCATTTGATTCAGTGTGCATATGGAAATAGCCCTTTAAGAATGATATTTTTCTCTGTTTTCCATCTCATGAGTGTCTCATGTATTTGGTTTTCTACTTCACTTTCTAAATATCTGGAGACAGAACAGTTAGAACAGTGTCTCTTCATAAAAGGGTAGAACAGTGTCTCTTCATAAAAGGGTAGAACAGTGTCTCTTCATAAAAGGGTAGCTTCTAAGTAGGCATGGCCAACACTAAATCCTTGTTACCACTCAGTCCTACTTGCCCCTTCCCCCCAAAAATGTGTTTGTAATGTAACCCAAATAAGTAAGAAAAACCAAAACTAAATACCTCCCACTTCTTCACCCTCTGGCTGCTGAGGCATTCAAAAAAACCTCAATATTTAAATTTTTCTGGCATGTTAGTGAAATAATTGTGAATAACCGTAAATAGTGTATTAAGTTTATAGAGAGTAAATAGACTGGGGTGGGCAAGAGACTGCTAGCGGGCTGGATGCAGCCTGCCAGGCCAGCCACTGGATCAGGGCTGCGGCTGGTCCCTGGGATCCTCCAGCACAGTGCAGTGGCTTTGAATGAAGCTGCTTCATTCTGGGAGGGAGGGAGAGGGGCTTAGTGCTCTGTCCTGCATCTCAGCAAAATCACTCAGTTCCATTGTCTAGTTTTTCACCAATCAGCCTTCAGGGTCCTGCAGGGCTGCTGAGTGGCCGCTGCTACACCCTGACCAGAGCAGAGCCATGTGGAGCAGCTTGCTAGCACAGTGCAGTGGCTTTGAATGAAGCTGCTTCATTCTGGGAGGGAGGGAGAGGGGCTTAGTGCTCTGTCCTGCATCTCAGCAAAATCACTCAGTTCCATTGTCTAGTTTTTCACCAATCAGCCTTCAGGGTCCTGCAGGGCTGCTGAGTGGCCGCTGCTACACCCTGACCAGAGCAGAGCCATGTGGAGCAGCTTGCTACTGCAGCCTTCAGGGTCCTGCAGGGCTGCTGAGTGGCCGCTGCTAAGGTAAGGGCCTCCCAGCCAGAGCCTGCCTCTGGCACACGCACCCCAACTACAGGCAGTCCCCGACTTACGCGGATCCGACTTACGTCGGATCCGCACTTACGAATGGGGCTTTTCTCGCAAGGTCTAGGGGGGGGAAGGGACAAATGTTTGAGGCACCCACCTGGTGCAGCTCCCAGGGTGGGGAGGTGCAGGTGGCTCTGCATCGCCTTGCACTTACAGGCACCACCCCCCTGCTGCGCCCATTGGCTGTGCTTACCAGCCAATGGGAGCAATGGGGATAGAAAGCAGGGGCAATGTAGGAGCATAAGGGGTCACATGCCTCAAATACCGAGGGTGGGAAGGGCTGGCAGGTCGGCCAGCCTGAGGAAGGGTGTCCAGCTCTCCACGTTCACTGCCGGTGCATGAAACAGAACAAGATGGCCCCAGATGCTTTGCTCTCCCAGCACACTGCTCCAGGGAAGAAGGCAGGATTGTCCCACACTTTCCAGCAGAAAATGGATGTAGTTGGGAGAGAAAAGCAGCTGGGGCTACCTTGTTCCACTTCCCCTGCTTCTGCTGACGAGTGCAGAGGAGGGCGGGGGACTGGACCTTTACTGCTGACACCAGCCCTGCTGGTCCACGGCGCTGCTTTGGTTGGGGGGAAGAGGAGAGGCAGGGAGAGGACAGCGCAAGAGAGGGAAGAGTAGAGCAGAGGTGAAGAGGAATGGTCCTGACCCTTCCCTGTGTTGGGGGAGGAGTTGCATGGCTGGTGGTCCCCCAGATGGCCTCTGACCATTCCCCTGTGGTAGAACCGCATGTGAGCACATGACCAGAGCTTCTCTGAGCTGCCATTTCCCCAGCCAGAGGGAGTAGGGGATGACATCAGAATGAAGAACCACTTCCTCTCCCCTGCTAGGCAGAGCCCGTGGGCCCGATGCAGCCTGTAACTTGCATTGATCCAGCCTGTTACGCTTGGGATTCCGGACTCCATAGCAGGACAAGCCAGCTCTGGCTTGCTCTGTTGTGGGAAGAGAGAGCCCAAGCCTCGTGGGCCGGATCAAGACATGCCGCATGCTGGGCCATAGGTCCCCATCCCTTTAACTAGATACAAATTTAATCACTAGCAGAACTTAAAATTATCGATAAGGTGAACTGATTTCGAAAGAACATGGTTTTCAAAGAAGAATAAATAAATTAAAACTAAATAAATATTTAGCTACCAGATTGCAGAAAATATCTCAAAAGTAAGTGACATGTTATTGCATATACAGGCAGTCCCCGACTTACGCGGATCCGACTTACGTCGGATCCGCACTTACGAACGGGGCTTTCTCTACAGGAAGCCCCAGGCAGAGTTGCTCTGCCCCGGGCTTCCTGGAATCAGCTGCTGATCAGTTTCAGCAGCAGCTGACTTGGGGACGCCTGGGGTTCTTAAGTTGATTCTGTATGTAAGTCAGAACTGGCGGTCAGTTTCAGCAGTGTCTGAATCTGGACGCCAGTTCCGACTTACATACAGATTCAACATAAGAACAAACCTACAGTCCCTATCTTGTACGTAACCCGGGGACTGCCTGTACCTGCCTCAGGCAGCCACCTAAACCCTGTTTACCCCTTTCCCCCAGGTCACAGCTCCCTCCCTGCCCCTCCACTAGAGCTCCTCCCTCAGGCTAGAATCCTCTCCTGCACCATACCCCCTCCTGGACTCTGCACCCTAATCCACTGCCCCAGATCACAGACCCATCCTTCACCCAACTCTCTCTCACACTCCACACCCCCTCCTGCACCCAGTCTCATATCGCAAGCTCCCTTCTCCATCCAACCACTGTCCCAGACCTCAAACCTCCTTGGTAGAAATGCAGCCCTTGACCACTTGCCAAAATCTTGCAGTGACCCCCCATTAAAAAGTATTGCCCATCCCTGATGTAGTCTCTAGCCTGCATTTGCAGAGGGGGAATAGAGAGGGTGTGGGTTTTTTATAATTTTTGGGTTGCCTCAGGCACTGAAAAACATCTAAGAATTTGGAATTTTTCTCACTATATTCTCTACTTCCAATGGACATGAACAAGGATTATGCCCCATTGTAGGGTATATGACCAATGACTGTAATATCTGCCAGTCCTTCTCTGATAGAGACTAGAAGCACCAAAGGCAATCTATTTAAAAAACTTTGGAGGTGAGAGTATGGATGACTTTTTTCAAGGTTTCACATGCACATGTACTGTGACTTGTAAGTGTCCCTCAGTCCTTCAGCTTCAGACTGACAGGGAGCTGTCTCGTTGTAAAAGCTCCCTTTACCTAGGAAAGTGAGGAATATTCTCTTGAATTTGTTTGCTGGAATTGACTTTAATGGAACTGGCCAGGTGAGTAAAGTATGAAGGATTGAGACGTGTTGTATTAAATTAGATGGAATATACGTATATGAGATACTGTCCAGTATTAAACAGTGTTAAACAGGATTCATGCTTGGGTACGCAGACATTTTAGACTGCATGGTACCATGGCAAAAAAACCATTAAAAATCTTTTAAAACCTTTTTATATAGACACAAAGGGAGAAACAGGTAAAAACCATTTGAAATTTAAAGTATTTTAACAACATTTCTTGTTCCCTCTCCTTATAGCTGAAAAGAGTTTTAGAAGGTCCTCCACCCTATGTTTGAGAGTCTTTTAGATGATATTAAGGATGGAAAAATCGGTTCTTTTGGGTAAAAGATTTTAGTTGAGATAGGCTGGAGCTGCTGCTGCTAAGTCTGATCCCATTTTATTTCAGGTGGTATTTGGGATTTAGCTGGAGCTAGTAGGGATGGATGTTTCTGTGTCCTTCTCTCCTTATCTGGTCAGAACATCTCTCAGGATTAGGATGATGAAGGTCTGGTGTCCCAAAAGGTGGGGGAGGGGCACAGGGGGCAGGCATGATGGTGAAACTCATTTCACTAGATTTAATCTGTTTTTCTATCTTCCCATCCAAAAGCCTCTTTCTTTAAGGACTCATAAAGGGAGTGATGGATGGAATATCAATCCCGCCTTATTATGTCCACCAATGAGGCCTAATCTTTGACATACTAATTTGGTTAATTAATTTTGAGATCCACATTTTCTGTTTTTACCAAGCATGATTTTAACGCAATCCTTAAATTGTATCAATGTGTTTTTTTTGTTTGGAATTATTTTTTTATGGATTTTTTTGCAGTGTTTGTAACCTTCATTATTAAAAGCAATTTAACTTACTCTTTATTAACACTTGTTATAGGTTATTGTAACAGGCTATGAACTTTTATATACTTTTTACAATTAAGCTTACAATTAGTGTATTTTAGGCCCAATTATTAGAATAGCCCTCAATACTGATTCAGTCAAAACTCCCAGGGTATGTCTACACTACAAAGTTAATTCGAACTAACGGACGTTAGTTTGAATTAACTTTGATAGGCGCTACAATAGCACTATGCTAATTCGAACTAGCAGAGCGCTTAGTTCGAACAAGGTAAACGTCGTTGTAAGAGGACTAAGCCTAGTTCGAACTTACTAGTTCGAATTAAGGGGTGTGTAGCCACTTAATTCGAACTAGTGGGAGGCTAGCCCTCCCCAGCTTTCCCTGGTGGCCACTCTGGCCAACACCAGGGAAACTCTATTGCCCCCCTCCCGGCCCCGGACCCCTTAAAGGGGCACGGGTTGGCTACGATGCCCGTGCCAGGTGCAAGCCTGCCAGCACCCAGCTAGCAGACCCTGCACCTGGCACGGCTCCGGCCAGCCACCCC